GGCAGCACTACTGCTATGGACCGCAAGCACCTGCAGAGAGTGGTAAAGACTGCGGAGAAGATCACCAGGACTCCACTGCCCTCTCTGCAGAGCATTTACAACTGCCGGGTGCGTAGGAAAGCTGCCTCCTTCCTCAAGGACTCCACCCACCCCTAGCACGGACTGTTCATACCTCTACCCTCCGGTCGGAGGCTCATAAGTGTGAAATGCAGGACCTCCAGACTGAAAAACTTTCTTTCCGACTGCCATTAGACTCCTGAACAGCTGACTCAGGATCTGCCTCATGTAATTCCATCTGTACTGTTTAGGTACTCATTTTACGCATGCACAATTGCACACTTACTGCTGAATATTTGCACTTCATGGCTCCCATGTAGCATATATTCTGTCTGCATTATATTGTGTTCTTGTTGTATTTTTATTGTGCTTCCTTCACTTGCTGCTTTAAAGTGCCTTAGATTTGTGTTACTGCCTTTTTAGATTTGTGTTACTGCTTCACTTGTATTATGTGGTATTCATGTGGATGGCAAAGTAAGAATTTCATTATACAGAGAAACACGTTTTCTAACTGTGCATATGACAAATAAACACTTTGACCTTGACCTTTGACCTTGGTTTATAGTGTTTCTCAGACAGCTAATAATCAGCTGTACAGACACCAGCAGCAACTTGCTAGCTATCTACACATGGACTGTGTGTGGAGTGTATCTTTGCGTGTTACAGCTCAGACTGTGACAAATCCCAGAATTCTCCAGGTCCTCTAGTTCCTTAATTTGTTTTCCTCCAGGATCAGTTCACTTAAAACACCTGGTCAACATTTTTCATAGGACCTAGCTCTTCATTAGAAAGTATGTGTACTGAAAACACAAGATCTGTTGATTATGCAGAGTAAGTGGTGCCTACTTCCTGAAAAGATGTGTTGCTGTTGCAGTGTGAAATGCACATAGAAACAGAATGTGAACAAAATCAAATTGTCTGGATTGGCACACATTTGACTATTGAATTGTGTACTCTGTATTTATTGGCCTAGGAACCCTTTTTTGTATGCACAGACCTTTCGAGTGTTTCTGTGTGTTTGTGACAGCTGGGGTTCTGATTTTGTGAACCAAATAAAAACAAAAGTGTCTGCATGGTTTGATATGTTTTATGTAATTAGGGTGAACTGATTCTTTCAACATCAGTAGAAGGATAGGAATAATATTGACTTTAAATAAGAGGAGATGCAGCACAATATTGAAATCAGTCTCACATGGCAGAATCTTGCCTCTTGTTTATAAGCTGTACTGTTTCTTGGTACCACCAGCTCCAGTCTAAATACATTTATGTGTTTGTGCATGTACACATAGTCCTAACTATGGGTATGGACCTTCTGGCCACTGAGTTTTGTTGCAGCCATGTGATTTGATGCTAATAGAGTGAATAAATTCCCTGCATAAGCAGAGAATGTATAAAATCAGATGACAGCTTGGAGTGAGATGTTCTACATAGTATAGTAGGTGATTTATAAGTTGTGGTGCTATTCTGCCCATGTTTGTAATGAGTGGTGTGTCAGATAGCAGAGCTTAGAGGGAAGGGCAAGTCTTTACCTGTTCTAAAGACAGCAGCAGAATGTAATGTTGGGCAGGTATATCCTGCTGACAACAGAACTAATATTCACATAGCAGCCTAGACATTCTCCCTATGACTCTGTTGGTTTAAGTGAATTGTGGTAGGATGTTGTTCCCACCTAACCTTTTCAGTGAAAGAATTTATTTTCTCTCAAACTCTGAATATTAGGTGTGGACACAGACATGGAAACCAGGTGATGACTAAACATTTGTTTTTTCTCTCTTCACCATAGTTGAAGTCATGTAAAAGCTGGTTTCCCCTCAGTCCCTTGGGCGACTGAAGTATTGCAGGTAACGTAGGAATGACTAGCCTGTAAATCTGGGAGGAATACCAGTGTGATATTTCCAAAGTGCTTGGCTGGCCACTTGGCCATCAGAAAATGTCTGAGTGTTTTTGAAATTATTTTAAAAGAGGCTTCTGTTTGTGGGCAGTTGAGTGGAGTTGTTGCTGTAGTTGGCATTTGATCAGCCCATTGCTCTTTTCTTATAAAAGGTGTACACTACATTGCTTCTTAGTAATTCAGCAGCGATGTTTGCATTTTGCAGTGCTACAGTATTGGTTTTGCTGAACGTGGTGATATTCAGGAATAATTCAGTTTTAATTGCAATGTGCAAATTATGTTTAGCCATGCTTTCAATGCAGCTTTTAGGGATGGCAATAAGACTATGGAATTGATTTCCATTGTCTACTTACAGTATAATACTGTAACGTAGGCTAGCTTGAGAAAGGAGCCAGAGACAGAAGCTGCTGTTTATTCACCACAGCCAGGGAACTTCACAGCATACAACACAACAGAACACACTCCAATAATCCCCACCAGCTCTAAACTATATACAACCCGCCCAGTGGGGCATTACGGGGGGATCCCACCAGGTGCTTCTCCCCTCAGGCATTCTGGGGGACCCCACTAAGTGTCTCTCTACCCACAACACGACAATACAAACAATTTAATGGTGCCCAGAGGATGAATTATAACTGTGGTGATCCCTTTTTGTAGTGCCACAAGGGGATTAAACTTTTTCCCTGGACAGGGAGCTCGATAGAATCTTAGAGGGCCAAGGCAGATGGCCACCCACCCTGAGCCTGGTTGTACCTGCGGTTTCCTCCGTTAGAATGAAAAACTCACTTTACTGGATTTGTTGGGTTATTCTTTATAAACTATAATGTATTAACCTTATTCGGTAAAGTGTCTTGAGGTGATTTCTCTTTGTGATTTGGTGCTTTATAAATAAACTGAATTGAACTGAACTGAAATTAATACAAAGTGCAACAAAAAATAAATAAATAAATAAAAGCATGGCACAGGAAACTATGACACTGCTCTAAACATCGATCACAGTTGGTTCACCTTTGAACTGTTGACTG